ACATTGAGGTGTTACAACCCCAAAAAAAAAAAAAATCAAAAAAAAAAATCAAACGTGTTAAGATATTGTTCCCATGCTGTGGCGCTGTCTGACACACACACACACACACACACACACTCATATCCGTCTGGGACAATATGTGAGAGGACAACACAGAAACCGGACCGTTGTGGGTGTTCAGGGTTGAGTCAATGTCAGCGGCGTTGGTGGAAGCGCAGCAGTCCACACGAGGGATACAAAACAACGACATCAAACACAGCCACACACACACACACACACACGTATGCTAATGATGATCAAAAATAAAAGACAGAGACCAAGCCAAATCAAAGCAGAAAACACGCAGAACAAAAAAAAAATAAAAAAGGTAAAGAGACATTAAATACACCAAAGCTTCTTGCCCACTTTTAAGAAAAAAGTATGAGCATTGTCATGTGTTTTTGGGGCGTTTTCAGGCCGATTGTGGGGGACTTCGAAATGGAGTCCACAAAATGCTAGCATTAGCAGAAATACTGCTCATACTGTCAAATCGTTTGTTTGTGTTTGTTTTTACAACGCTCATACAGAGAACGTGCGGCAAGAAACCATCAAAGACTTCTGTTTTACCTTGAGCACAATCTTGTTGTCGGACGTTGGGGTTCGACCCACCCACAGGGCAAATTTACAGGGGTCTCCTTCCACATGCTCTGTCACCCCCAACTCAGACGTCTGGTTAAAAAATAATAAAAAAAAAAAAACATACAATGACTTTCAATTTCAGTGTGAGAGCAAATGCTTTTATTTATCTAGAAGTACTGGGTCGAGGTTCCACAAGGTTCAGTACTGGGACCCAAAGTTTTTACAAAAAAAAAAAATCACAAATCTGATTAATCGTCCACTCACCAGGAGTTTGCTCTTATAGATGTATTTGCTTCTGCCATTCGAGTCCTTGACTTCTTTGCTGAAAACAAGTGACATCTCAAAGAGGAAGAGGTGGCGCTCTCGGCCCTTGCGGATAAGCGTCTTTGGATCCCAGACCTGGAAGGACTCCTGAAGAATGAGCTCGCCCTGGGACTCGATGTTTTCATCGAAACCTGAAAAGGACATTCGTTTGTAAATAAAGTTAACACTACAGTTTCCTACTGTTTATGAGATTTATTTTTTGATGATTTCCTTTACTAACGGTCAAAGAGTTGATCACCTTCTAGCATCGAGAGGTGCATGGCGTCGTTGGCCTTCTTCGGAACGCTGAGCATCACCTCCAGGCCGTCCTTGATCTCGCCTTTACCTTCCTCGCAGCAATTCAGCAGCTCCTGAACACACCAAAAACCCACACGCCTGTCAAGTACAAACAACTCTGTGTGTTCGCTGTGTGTTTTTTTTCTTTTTTAGTCCGTTTACCTTCAGCAGCAGCTGATACTTGGTGATTCTCTGCACAGGCTTGATAAGGTAAGACGAGATGGAGTTGGCCAGTCGGTGCCTTTGCTGAATTTCCTGTTGACGGCCACACGAGGATGATGTTATGTGATCGGGCTGAACGACTGAATCTGAAAGAACGCCCTGTTGACGGCCACACGAGGATGATGTCATGTGATCGGGCTGAACGACTGAATTTGAATCCTTGTTTCGTTTCACAACTTCGGGCGATACTTACGTCGAAATAATTTCCAGCGTGCTCCACGATGAGCTGGGTGGAGTCGGGTTTGTTTTTGCAGTAGTTGACGTACATCTGGAACTTGTCGGCCTAGAGGGAGAGGAGCAGGTCGAAATGAGGTTGTGTATGGCAACATATTTCGTTTCAAGAGTAAACGCCAAATGTGGATAAGCAAACCAGCCGTACCCATGTGACGAAGCAGTGGCCGACGTCCTCTGGCAGCTGCTCATATTTCTCCAACTCTTTGAGGAAAATGCTAGGGGCAAAAAAAGAGGAGGAGCGACTTAAAAACAGAACTATAACTAATGAACTTGGAGGTTGAATCCTGTGTGTCAAACGTGAGGTTAAATTTGTGTTAATAATTATGAACTACGAAGAGCGAGTCCCTCACTTGTGGTGGAATTCAAAGAGGTCCTGCATGTTTCCGAAGATGATGTGCTCCTTGTTAATGATGCCAGGAGGAATCTCCTCGACTCCGCTCGTCATCTCCCAAAGGTAAGTCTACACGAGGGAAAGAAAAACAAAAATTAACCCACCAAAAAAAGAGATACATTTGTATTAATTTCTTGGCGAAACAGCAGGGGTCGGTAAAGCCGAACTCACGTCCATGCACTCCCGAAGATCTCGTACGTAGGCCTTTTCCGTCTGAATTAGCTCGGCCATAATGAACCTACAACAGAGCATGCACATCAACACAAACTCCTGGACTTGGACTTAATGATGAATCATCCCATCAACGCCTCCCTCTCAGCCGCGCTTCTTCGTCCACTTAGGTTAATGGATTATGAAAGATTCATAGTTACGAATCAGTCACGTAGCGGCAACTCAATTTAATCATCTAAATTGACAGTCATTCCGTCCTGCGTACGACATGCTGCATGTTTACTAATGTTCTTTTCTGTTTCTGCTGTGGTACGCGGATTTCCAAAAACTGCGGCTGTATATGAGAAATAAATCACAGAAATACACACTAGCCTTAATGCACTCAACTTGAACCAATGATGAACAGCAAGACTTCACTCAAATTGTGAAAAAAAAAAAAAAATGGAGAACACATACTCCTTCTTCCGGGCCGACTTTCGTTTCTCCTCGTTTAACTCGTTGGCGGCATCCCGTAGTTTAACCTCCGACCCCGGAGCTGTGGCTGGGATGATGTCCAGCTGAAGGTCTTTGTTCTGTCACACAGAGAGAGAGAGAGAGAGAGAGAGAGAGAGTCGTCGAATCGGTGAGTGACGTACGCATCGCGCGCGTTGTCGACCATATAAACTCGGGACAGCTTACCGCCTTGTTCGAATCCGACGAGATGCCCAGCGCCTTCTCCAGGCTGCAGCGGTACTTGTCCATGCGCAGGGAGAAATCGCGATAGCGCTTGTCCACGGCCGTCACCCATTTTTTAATCTCCGCAGAGTGGCTGTGACCTTTTTCGCAGAAGCCGTCGGCCAGCTGGATCAGCAGCTTCACGCGCTCCTTAGTTTGCTGGCCAAAAACAGGAGAAGGAGGAGAAGTGTTAGGTGTATGGAATTCTAAGTAACACATGGGAGTGGAGTCGGAGATTGTAAAGCGGTGCAAAAGGAAGACTGTCTGTATGGGCTGGCAGTGTGTAGGATGACAGGAAAAAACAAAGACGCAGGAGCAAGTTGAGGCACAGCCCGGGATACAATGGTGGAAATTGAACAAAGAGTTAAGAACAGCTACGGTGGTTAGAGAAAGACGGCAAGAAGGACAGAGGAGACGGAAAGTTGTCTTAAAACTGCAAATTATGTAAAAAGAAATCGTAGCATCTTATGTGTAAGAAAAAATTATGTAAAGAGAAATCGTAGCATCTTGTGTGTAAGGAAAGGGTCAGAAGTCAGGGGGTAGTGCAGGAAGGAGAAGATACGGGTTGCTACGTGGCTTTGGCCTAACCTTGGCTGTGATGTGGAAGTCTTCGTGCTCCTTCAGAAGTTCCTGTGTGTGGTGGATACTTGAGCCAGTGGATGTATGAGTGGACAGGTAAAACTCCCCCGTGTCGTGAATCCACTCCAGTGCCTGAGAACACGTGAGGCGACATGGTGGATTTAAGGGGCTTTGTTATGAAAACACAAATACTCGCGCCTGAATGGAGCGCTGCATCGTGAGCGTGATCATGTGACCTACCTGTTTGGCGCTGCGCTCAAACACCACATACTGCTGGCACTGGTCGAGCCGTCGTTTTCTCATGGTCCAGAAGTGGAGAACGCGATTCTCTCTCTGCAGCAGTTCATTGAGAATGTCTGAAAACAACAACAACAAGTGCACAGACGGAGACGTTTAGCTAATTGAAGTTAAAGTTTAGCATAATGAAGAAGATATATAAGTCGCTCCGGAGTTTAAGTCGCACTAGTGCCCTCTAGTGGCTGCCGGTGTGAAAATAATGAACATGTATATTTTTAAGAAGTACAGGAGTGGAAGTTACTGGTACACAAGCCTAGAGTGCCCTCTAGTGGCTGTCAGTGTAAAAATAACGAACATAAATTTTCATTGGTACAGGAGTACTACATACTGGTACACAAGCCTAGAGCGCCCTCTAGTGGCTGCCGGTGTGAAAATACGAAACACGTGAAATGATATATTTTAATACTGTACATAAGTTGCAGCTGAGTATAAGTGGCGTACATAAGTTGCACCTGAGTATAAGTCATAAACCGAACCAAGGATGAAAAAAAGTGTGACTTATAGTCCGGGAACGATGGTAAGGACATTTGCAGGCTGGATGTGGCCCATTGGCCAGTAGTTTCGGACCATTGCTTTTAAATTGTTTTCCATCTCATGTTGGCGTAAAAAAGGAATTTCCTCATGTATGTAACGATTAAATGCTCTTGATTAAACTAAATTATTATTTCTATTTATTTCCTGTTTTTCTTAGGCTTTGTGTTCCGGTGTTTCTTGTGCACGTTCACTTTCCCACACTTACTTTTAACCTGTTGCTCAGGTGCTTTGACATGACTCAGCATGCCAGGCATGTTGACGCTGTTCCTGTGCATGTACTTGAGAAAGACATCTGCGTTTCTTCTGGCCAGCGTGCAGGCCTAATTAGAATATATATAGAAAAAAAAAACAGCATTCAGAAAATGGAACTTCAAACTCTGACTTAGCGTAATCCTGAATGTTAACGTGTGTTTGTACCTTGAGGAAAGCCTCTTTCTGCTCCAGGTGTTTACTGATCATCGGGGTGACGTGGTCGGTTTCACAGTTGGGGCCTAGTTTGTCGGCTCCTCCGCACCAGTCCTCCTCTCTCTTATACTCTTGCTCCAGGCTCTCTAAAACACTGCAGACCTGAAAGGAAAAAGCAAGCCCACTCAATTATCTTTTTAAGAAGACTTTATCCCCAAAAATATTTTAAGTTTTAAGTTTACCTGCTCTGATGTCTTGTAAAAGGCCACGGAAGCGTTGACCAGTTTGAGTCTGTCCTCCATCTTGAGCATCAGCTGCTGCCAGTGAGAGGCCACGCTCTCGGCGCAGTCTCTGATCAGGTCCATGTCGTAATGGTTGGCCTGTAGCAGAGCTTCTGCCAGCGTTTTGGTGGGTTTTCTGTACAAGAGAGAAGCACGACAGGAACCAGTAAGTTTAAATTGTAAAGTTCTAGTTTTGACAATATTCTTCATATGTGAAAGCATGGATTCAAAAATGACAATTACTGTGAAAGAATGTCATAGATTGGTATATCATAAGCAGAAAAAAAGCGAGTGATCAACCGGTCACCTCGATGGCATGTTGAAACTGCTCATGTTCCCTCTGTAGCTGCTCAGCTTCCTGCAGGGAGCTTGCTGTTATCAGACCAGCGTTCAGCATCGATTCGCCGTTTCGGATCCATCCCAGAACCTGGAGAAAAAAAAAAGGGATGAACATTTTGTGTTTATTTTCATGCAGATATCCTAATGTACAGCAGGTGGTGCCTCGGAAAAAAAAACAACAAAAAAAAAACCCCAACCTGTTTAACTTCAGCCTGCAGGTGTCTCAGCTGGACACACTGCTCCAGGTGCCTGCGGTGCTGCTCAGCCGCCAAGTCCAACTCTTGCTGTTTTTCATGGAGGAACTCCAGCAGGTCCTGAACTCTGGTGGACATGTCGACGTCACGGTCGCACAGCAGCTCCACGCCTGGAGGCAGAGAACACGCTGTGTCAGATCAGGTTGAATGTTTCTCTTGATTTTTTTTCTTTTTTCTTCCATATGTTGTAATTTATCCAATGTACTGTAGCTCATTAATGCTAGCATTGTGCAAATTATGCAACCGTTTAAAGCATGTTAGAGTATCAGATCTATTTGCATGAGATCACAGATGACTTATGTTTACTGAGTGGGAGAGCCTCTCATCTCACACGCTGCCCGAATCTGGCCCTCGACACCCACACAGCACCAGTGTGAATCGTATGCTGCCCTCACAGAAATCTGTTCGGCTCCAAGTAACAATGAGCTGTATCCTGCTCTAACCGTCAGCGAGGGACGGCGACGGATTTTTGCCATTTGACAAGCAGCGGCTTTCAAAATCTCGCCACCAAAATTTAGTGTCCTCACCAGAGGTCTGGACTTCGTTGACGTACTGCAGCAGCTCCTGTCCCTGGTGGATGACGTCGAAGGTGAGGTTGTTCATGGTGAGCGCCTTGTCGGCGTGGTGCTGCAGCCGTTGCTCCGCCAGCGTCAGGTCCTCGGTGTCAAAGTCGTTCATTTGACCCGTGAGCTCCTCGTTCCACGACTCCAAGTCTGAGATGATCTGAAATGAATGTTTTTAATAAATAAATAACACTACAGTCGACGTATGTGTGGGGAAAAGGAAAAAAAAAGTGAACTCAAACTCACATCGATGGCGTCCCTCTCGAAGATGCGCAGTTGCAAAAAGAGCTCCAGCTTGATCTTCCTCTCCTGGAAGAGTTCTTCCATCTGGGCCTGGGCCTCGTCCAGCTGCTGCAGGACGCTCTCAATGTGGTTGATGGAGCTGTTGTGGGGCGTCTTATTGCTGGAGATAGCCGAGTCCCTGGAAGAAAGAGAGAAATAAAAAATGAAAAGGAAAAGGGCAGAGCACCTTAAATCCTTAAATCCACCTTAAATATCAACCTAGAGGAAAGGTTTTTGGATATTATGAGGCTTCGACAGTCTCTACCTGAGCTGCTGGATGAGGTCCTCTCCTTCTTTGATGACGTTGACGGTGACCTGCAGAGTGGTCTGCTGCTGCTGGCCGAAGCGTTTGATCAGGTCTTGGACCGCTTCCACGGACTCTGCGTAAACGTCGTCCAGCAACTCCTTCTGCAGCTCCTCCAGCCATGTCCATAGCTGGAGAAAAAAAAACAGGGTTTAGTAATTTAGTATCTTCCAACCGGTGGCAGCAGAGGGTTTAGTAATTTAGTATCTTCCAACAGGTGGCAGCAGATGGCAAAAAAAAAAAAAAAAAAAACAACTAAAGGAGAGCTTTATGTGAGCTTTTCTTCAGTTCCTGCAAGAATGTCATGGCGGTGTTCAACTAAACAGGCCAAAGTTAGAGAAGTAAAGTAAATAAAATAATAAGTGTCATATTTCATTATATAAAGCTTTAATTCGGACCTACAGTAAAACCTGTAATGCCATTTTTTTTTGCCGTTTACCTCTTTGACGTGCGTGTGGAAGGCAACGGACATGTCCAGCAAAACTTTACGCTGCTCCACGCGGCGAACAAAATCCTGGATTCTGTCTTCGAGCTGGTGGGCAGCCTGGTAGATCTCTTCTGGGTCGCACTCCCCTGTCTGGGCCAGCTGCTCAGCTGCCTCAAGCAGCTTGTCAGCATTAGTGTATGTGTTCTGCCCGGAAGACGGGGGGACAAACGACAAAGACAGATCAACTCGTGTAGGCAACACGATCTGAACAAAATGTATTTTTTCCGAGCGAGATTAAAAGGAACAGGGGCATGAAAAAAGAAAAAAAAAAAAAAAAAAAAGAGGATGTGCCGCGACGCACTGTGACAAATGTGAGAACCTTAACAGCATGAGTAAAGATTAAATGCGTAGATAAACCGCAACAGATGATGAAAGAACAATCAACTACCTGCGCCACTTCCTCAAAGTCTTCATGTCTCTTCTGGAGCGCTCGTGCTCGGTGGAGGGACTTTCCGACACCGGTGTGTTTGCTGAGAAAGGCCTCGCCGTGGTTTTCTATCCAGTCCAGCACCTGTGCGGCGAAACCGCGAGTGAGACACATGCATAAAAAACAGACAGCCACAAGGGGGTGCTTTGAGGTGGCGCCCTTGTATTCCCCCATTGCATTCCCTGCCCGGTTCTCAGTGTCGTTCACGCACGCGCACACACACAGCATCTGCACGGACATGTGACCCAATTCTAATGCCATAGCAACAGTTGCCCTGCCAACATTATCATAAACGCTTAATATTTAAGGACATTATGTAACACAATATTCCAGCGATGGAGCGTGGAGCTCCAGTAACTTGCTAACGGACACTCAGATAGGAAACATGGCTGCTACTGAGTTTAAAACCCTCTATTAGGAACACAATTCCTCTTCCCAGTAAGCAACCCTGCTATTTTCAAATTACTGCCTAAGCCTGTCACGGTAAACTGGAAAAAAAAACAAAAAAAAAAAAAAAGAAAAGCAGCGGTCTGCTTATGAAATGATACGTTTAAACGAATGTATTTCGTGTGTAAAAAAAAAAAAAAAAGTATTTGTACCTGCTGCACGTCCTGCTGGAAGACGCAGAGCTGCAGACGTTGGTGCAGGCGGACTTTGCGGTGCTGCCAGATGTTTTCCAGCTGTCTCTGGTGGTGCAGCACCTCGTGGATGATGTCCAGGACGTGGTGCACCGCCTTCGAGTAGTTGGCCGATGCCGTCAAAGAATCGGCGCCGCCTGGGGTCAAGGGTCGCTGCAGCTTGTCCAACAGAGCTTTTCCGTCTTGGCTCACCTGGGTGGAGACATTTTTTTTTTTTTTATTTATCGTGTTCTCGACTTGTACTTTAGCATCAAAGCTAGCGCGGCGTTACCTCAGAGTACGCCGCCGTGATGTGTTCGTACAGGCCCTGGTGATGGTGTATGGCGTCTTCCAGGTCTTGCAGCTCGGAGGGCAAATCCACCTCGCCGCATGCTTTGCACCAGGGGTCCACGTTGCTCATGTACTACAAGAGAAAAAACACATGTTCCCCGTGTCGTCAGGATGCGACGCATTTCAAGTGAGATGCACCGCGAGCCTACGTCCGCCGCCGCCACCGCCGTTCCCAAAAGTCATATATTATTCACGTCATGCGCCGCAGCGAGCGCACATTTGTCTGAGGGGAATTTTAGGAAGTGAAAGCCAATCTAAACGTTTCGGAATGCTCTCTGAAAAGCTCATCTGATGAACGTCCGTCGGCCTGTGGCGACTTACTGGAATAACATCCCTCAGGGAGGGATCGAAAAATAAATCAATTAGCAAGTCCTTCCTAGGAAGAAAAATCTAAAGTGTGCAGTGACTCCCATATGATAGAAGGGTCAAGGCTGTAAAATTAGAGCCAGGAATAGAATCAATTTAAAATGAAGGAGAACATCTTGAGAAAGCGAGTGTGACAACAATACTCCCGATCTGAAAGTTAAACAATTCCTTCGCAACGTTCCAGGTGGGATTCTGTGTCTGCCATGATTCATTCGGTAATGCTAATGAGCACAGAAATAACAGCAGATAATAAATGCTTTCCTCGCATTTTGCATTTACATATGCAAATATATGTAAACTCAGCGCGTACTGTAGACCTTCGACAGTTTGATTAAAGCCATGTAGGATTTTAGAACGGAAAACAATTGTGTCACATCTTCGCGTCTGTGACAGAAAAAAATAAATAAATTCAACAGTTAAACAGTTCATATTGTACTAAATCTGTTCAAGGCTTGATTAAAGAACACTATATATATATATATATATATATATATATAGATTATATATATTTTTTACACTTCGGCTCCGACTCACCTGATCACATTTTTGGTGAAAGCTCGCCGACATCTCCAGCAACGTGCTGCGCTCGTCGAGCGCTGCGGCAAACGCCTTCCACTCCTGCTCCAGCTGACCTGAGATCTGTTTGATCTGCTGGGAGGCGTAGTGGCCGGACTCCAGCAGTCGGTTGCCGACCGACATGATGCGGTTAATATTCACGTATACATTCTGTGAGCGGGTGGGGGGCGTAGGAGAGGAGAGGAGAGGAGGAGCAGGAGGAAGACAAATAATTAAACAGGGCGGTTGAAGAAGAGGGTCAAAACCAAACGGGCTCAGCCTGTGTGCGTTACCATGCAGTTCATGGCGAAGTGATTGTGCTGGGTTTGCAGCTCTACGGCGTGGGGATGGTTGTTGCCAATCTCGGTGTAGCCCGCCAGGAACAAACTCTTGTTGTGCGTGATCCAGTCAAACATCTGGACAGAGGAGGGGACGCACAAACATGAGAGTTAGAATACGCCGCAAAACAACTCGAGGAAGCACGGTCAAATATGAAATCACTGCAGTTGGCTGTGACGAAACCGTGCAGATTCATCATGACTGGGTTCGGGTGCTGCTGCTGCTGCAGTGTGCTCATTGTTGTTGTCATCTTTTCCAGGCCAGAACATGGAGAAATGGACTGCCTGCGTTGAAGACAATCCTCTCAGGCTCTCTCCAAGAGAACAACCTATGGCATGCGGTGTCCTAGCAACAAGCTCCTACTACTGCAGTGTATCCAAGACTGCAGCTCGTTCTGCCACTGCTGCTGCAATCTGCTATTTTATTCTGCTCACTCGAACATGAATATGTGAATATCTCACTCCGTCCATTCCTACTATGCAAGGCACCGTTCACTGCCTGGTAGGGATGTGACGATGCATCCTTACAACGATTCACATTGATTTTTTAAAAAAAATATAAATCGCAATGCATCGTAAGGAGTGGGCTGAAAAAGTCACTGAGACTACATCGTACGGTAAGTCTTGGTGAGTGACCTGCTATGAAACCAAGACATCACGTCACACACGTCACGTCACACACGTTCACTTGTTCAAACAGAGCGTAGGAAGATACGGTGGCGGTGAGCAGCGTTGACATAGAAGGTGCTGCGACCAATTGTAAATCAGCCACATTTTGGATTCTCATATTCCAAAGAAATGATCATTATATTTGGTCATAATTTGTTTGGAGCTAATTCTGTTAAAATAAAATTGTGATAAAATCGCATCGTAAACAAAAAGAAAATGACATAAAAAAATAAAATTATATATACATAAATATAAATAAATATATCCATATACACATATATACATACATACTGTATATATACATACATATATACATACTTTATATATACATACATATATACATATATACATACATATATATGTATATATATACATACATATATATACATATTACATACATATATACATATAAATATATACATATACATACAAACACATACATATA